AAGCCCCTCTCCAGGCAGGGACTCGTGTGTGTGTGGGGGGGGGGCTGTTGTCTTCCAAGCCCCGCATAGTTGTTTAGCAAAGCCTAATGCATACACAAGAATATGAATTAAAAAGGATTGAAATGGTTAGAAGGTACTAACTGAGCTGAGCCTGCAAACAGTGGAAAGTAATTATGTAAGTCAGAGGTTGAAAAATGATGGCCCCCCTGGCCTGTAGATACATTTTCATAGCTCATGCTGTTTGTTTTTATTTAATTAGTGGCCAAAACTTTAAATCAGGCCATTTCTTTCACATCCACTCACACAAAAATCTAGATTTTTCAGTATTTCTTGAAAAATCAGATGTGGCCAAACAGGGCCCACATGCCTACATGGTGCTATTAGCAGGAGTTGAGTAGCAATTCACTCCTTTAGACTCTATAAAATGTCCAAATCCCCCGTCCCCACTAAATCCACTGTCTCCCTGACACTGAAACAAAGTGTCAGTTGTCATTTATCTTCCAGTTTGCTTCATTCCTGATTAACTGCCTGGCCTCTTGCAGCCATTTGAGTTCCTAATTCCAGATGTAGATAGAGGTGAGTAGAAAGGGTATTACAAGTAGGAGAGTCATGCGCAAACAGATGGAATGGGGAGAAGCATTGTATATGGGAAAATTAGGATTCTAGAGCATAGGTTTGTATTTAGGTGAATTATAGAGTAGAGCTATTGTTATGGGTTGAATTGTATCCCTCCCCCAAAAAATATATTTGAGGCCCTAATCAAATTTTTTTTTCTGACAATGCTTTATTGGACGTCATGAATACAACTGACATGGAAATGAAGTGGATACAGTCATGCCCAACTGGCATGCAGTTCACAGTTAATTGTGAGAGTTCGAAAAGTTAACAAGTGTGATTAGCATTTTTCATAAATATATTGATTTCTGAAAAACATTTTTAGTAACTACTTAGTTTAAAAAAATACATATTGATCAAAAGGAAAAACTCAAAATCTATTAAGTGGATAATCCCTAGGAAGGTTAAAAAATGGGTTCATATCCCATTTTCCACAAGTCTGACCTGTTTATCTACTATTAATTCACAGAACCTGGGCCTCAGTTTTTGAAGCTAACGTCCTGGGGTTTCTGGGAGGTAGGGTCATTATGAAAAAGGAAACACCTCCATTCTGTGTATAAAAGACTATGTTGCATACTGATTGCTTCATGACCCCTAAAAAGTACTTCTATTTAGAGTCAAAGGCCCAGGTATTGCCCATTAAGAAATACACAGTTGAATGTATTTCTCCCTCCAAAATTAGTGAAATAACATTGCTGTTACACACAGGAAACAGTGGCATACTGTATTAACTTTAGTAGCAATTAGTATCAGGAGGAAAAGACTGCTATACAGGAAAATACACAAATCTATAGATAAAAGTGGAAAACAATTTGCTGTAGCTATTACGCAGATGTGCTGATTCAGCGCCCACAAGACTCTTGCTTTATTCTATAGAAGTGAGTCCCACGATAGTTTAACTGCCCATCCCCAAATGTCAAAGTGAAATGAAACTCAACAAATTCAAAATGATTGTTGTACTTAAATTATCTGTAAATAAGAACAGTCAACTGTTGCGGCACAAATAGCCTGTGAATTGTAAACATACAAAGACACAGGGACAAGCTCATGCCTTAAAGAGAAGCTGCCCTGAGTCTTAGTTAGGGGATTAGGGCCTAATCCCCTACCTTAGAAAGTGATCTTATTTGGAAATAGGGTTGTTGCAAATGTAAATGGTAAGATGAGGTGAATTAGGGGAATAGAATGGGCCCCTAATTCAGTGTGACTGGTGTCCTTTCAGGAAGATGGCCATGTGAAGGGACAGGCACAAGGAGAGCCCCATGAAGATTGGTGATGCATCTACAAAGCCAGGAACACAAGGATTGCCGGCTGTCACCAGAAGCTAGCTAGGTGCGAGGCATGGGACAGTTGTCCCTCAGGGCCTGCAGAAGGAAGCCACCCTGCCAGCTTCTTCATTTCAGACTTCTAGCCTCCAGAACTGTGAGAATACATTTCTGTTGTTTTAAGCCTCCCAATTTGTGGGACTTTGTTATGACAGCCCTAGGATGCTAACACGGTGTTGTAAGTAAAAAAGAGGCTATTGTTTCCTTTAATAGATGATAGAAAATTCATGGTAGACTTTTTATCATTGGTGACAAGGGAAGCAGTGTTTTGAAAATTGTTTGTTCCGACAGTGTTACCAGTATATGATTTTTATCCTTCATTTTATGTGGTATATCAAAGTTTATTGATTTGCAGATATTGTAGCAACCTTGCATCTCCAGAGTAAATCCCACTTAATTATAGTGTATGATATTTCTTTTAATGTATTGCTGGACCTGGTTTGCTAGTATTTTTTGAGAATTCTAGCATATATATTCATCAGGGATATTGACCTATACTTTTCTTTGTAGTATCTATCTGGTTTTGCAATTAAGATAATGCTGGCCTTGTAAAGTATTAGCAAGCTTGCGTGTCTTCCCTCCTCTTGAACTTTTTGGAATAGTTTGAGAAGGATAGCTGTTAGTTCTTTGAATGTTTGGTACAATTCACCTATGAAGCCATCCAGTCCAGGACTATTGTTTGTAGGAAGTTTTTTATTATTATTATTATTATTATTACTGCTTCCATTTCATTAGTTGTAATCTGTCTGTTCAGATTTTCTGATTCTTTCTGATTCAGTTTTGGAAGATTGTATGTTTCTAGGAATTTATCCATTTCATTCAGATTGTTGAATTTGTTGACATATGGTTGTGATATTTTCTTACAGTTCCTTATATTTCTGTGGAGTCAGTTGTTACTTTTCCTTTTGCATTTCTGATTTTATTTATTTGGGTCCTTTCTCTTTTTTTCTTGATGAGTCTGGTTAAAGATTTGTCAATCTTATCTTTTCAACGAACCAGCTCTTGGTTTCATTGATTTTTTTTTTAAGACTCTATTTTGTTTATTTATGCTCTGATCTTTATTATTCCTTTCTTCTACTTACGTTGGGATTTGTTTGTTGTTCTTTTCCTAGTTCCTTTATGTGTAAAGTTAGATTGTTTGAGATTTTTCTTGTTTCTTGAGGTAGGCGTGTAATGCTGTGATTTTCTTTCTTTTTTAAAAAAATATTTTTTTATTGATTTCAGAGAGGGAGAGGGAGAGATAGAAACATTGATGAGAGAGAATCATTGATTGGCTGCCTCCTGCACAACCCCATCGAGCCCACAACCTGGGCATGTGTCCTTGACCAGAATCGAACCCGGGACCCTTCAATCCACAGGCCAACACTCTCTCCACTGAGCCAAACCGGCCAGGGCTGTGATTTTTTCTTAGGACTGCTTTCTCTGTGCACCATAGGTTTTGGGTTATGTTCTCACGTTCAGTTGTTTCAAGGTACCTTTTGATTTCTTCCTTGATCTTGTTGTTAACCCATTCATTGTCTAGTAACATGTTACTTAGCCTCCATGTCTTTGTGTGTTTTTCAGTTTTTCTCTTGTGATTGATTTCTAGTTTCATACCATTATGGTCAGAGAAGATGTTTGATGTGATTTCAATCTTCTTATATTTATTGGGACTTGTTTTGTGGCCTAACATGTAGTCTGTCCTAGAAAATGTTCCATGTGCACTTGGAAAGAAAGCATATTCTGCTGTTTTGGGGTGAAATGCTCTGAAGTTAGTGTGTCATTTTAAGGCCACTGTTTCCTTGTCTTGAAGATCTATCCATTGATGTAAATAAGGTGTTAAAATCCCCACTCTGAAAGGTCAGCAAAAGGCCCAAGGCACCCAGAGATCTGCCAGATGTTATGGGGATACCTCTTCCCAGCTCTGGTGCGCTGGGCTTAGAAGCTCAATGTGGGATTGAGACCCCATGCTCCTCAGGGGGAACCTTTGCAGATGATATCCCTCTGGAATCTCAGCCACAATCCATGGGAGCAGGGCCAGTCCTTTTCACATCTCCATCCTTCCTACCAGTCTCAATATGGCTTCTTCTATAAATCCTTGGTTTTGCTTTGCTTATGCTACTGGATCTGGACCATTTCTCCTTTGCCAGCTGGCACAAGATTTAGATTTTTGCCAATAGAGGATGTTGGAGGGATAATGCAAGCCCATTGTAAAAGAAAGGGCCCTAGCCAGGTGTGGCTCAGTTGGTTGGAGCACCGTCCATACACTAAAAGATGGTGGTTCACTTTCCAGTCATATAAGTATGACTACTTACAGAACAGGTTGCGGGTTGGATCCCCTGTCAGGGCACATGTAGGAGGCAACCAATCGATGTTTCTCTCTCATGTTGACATTTCTCTCTCTCTTCCTCTCTGTAAAAAAACAAATAGAAAGAAAAGAAAAAGAAAGGAACTTCTCTTCCTGGTGCTTTTTTATTATACACAGGATCCAGCAAATTTCTATCCCTTCAAATAGGCCACTGCCTGAGAACCAACTCCAGATTGCCCGCCTCCTCCAGTGAATTTTCCCACCACCCTACAGACCACTCCCACACAACAGCTCCAGCCTGCGCCTGACACATTTCTTCTCTGCCAGTAGGGTGCGTGTTCCTGTGGTAATCACAGTCTCTCTAAAAAGGTCTGAGTCTGGGCCCTCTGGTGTAGAGTCCTCTTCTAGTTTCTTTGTTCCTCCCTCTTAAACTTCCCAGCATAGTGAGAGATGATTTGTGTATTTTAGAAATTATATTATGGCCTACTTATCATTTCAGATTCTGAGACCAGGAATAAGATGAAGGACCGGAAGGCAAAGATGAAAATTTCTGAAGAAAAAGATTCAGCAAGGGTTGTATCAGGAAGACTCCAAAGACAGATCTCCCAGGAATGTGGGTTAGTTGAAACCAGTGACCTAGAACACAGGTCATTGAGGCATTGGGGTAAGCCCCTTAGGGGATACAGTGAGACAGCCCACTTCCCAAGAGAGAGGTATTAGGAAAGTAAATCTCATTACTAATGAAGCTGTTGCAGGAGAGAGGGGCTGTGAATGTAATGAAGGAGGAAAAATACTTTCTGCCAGAGGAAGATCCCACAGATATGAGGTCTGTGGACAGAGCTTCAAACAGAAATCAGAAGTAACTGAACATGAGAAAATTGATAATATCAAGAAAACCTATGATGTAAGGAGTGTGAAAAAACTTTTAATCAGGGCTCAAACCTGATTACACATCAGAGATTTCATACAGGAAAGAAACCTTATATATACATGAATGTGGGAAAGACTTCAATCAGAGCTCTAAGCTGGTTAGACATAAGAGAATCTACAGTGGCGAGAATCCCTATGAATGTAAAGAGTGTGGGAAGACCTTCAAGATATGTAATGAGTGTGGGAAGGTCTTTAATCAAAGCTCAGATCTTACAATACATCACAGAATTCACACAGGAGAGAAACCCTATGAATGTTTTGAATGTGGACAAACCTTCAGTCAAAGTTCACACCTTGTCACACATCAGCAAATTCATTCTGGAGAGAAACCAAGTGTAATGAATGTGAAAAAGGCCTTCCAGCAGCGTTCAGACCTTACTGAACACTAGAGACTCCACAGTGGAGAGAAACACCATGAATGTTGTGAATGTGGGAAATCCTTCAGTGGGTACACAGCTTTCCTGAAACACCAGAGACTGCATACTGGAAAGAAAGAAACTTGAATGTGAAGAAGCCTGCACTTCTGGCTTGGACCTTAGCAAACAACAGAGAATTCATAGGGAAGAAAAACCTTTGTTATGTACTGAATGTGGAAAAACTTTCTGGGGAAATTCAGATCTAATTTGGCATTGGATAATTCATACTGGAGAGAAACCCTATGAGTGCAGTGAATGTGAGAAAGCCTTTAGCCGAGGTCTTACTTTGTTACACATCAGAAAATTTATACTGGAGAGAACCCCTATCAGTGCAAAGAATGTGGGAAAGTCTTCCGGCAGTGTTCACTCCTTAATCAACATCTGAGAATCCACAATGGTGAGAAACCCTATGAATGTAAGGAATGTGGAAAACCATTCATCCGCCACACAGCTTTTCTCAAACATCAGAGACTTCATACTGGAGAGAAAGTTAAAGAAAGTGAGAAAACATTCAGCAAGGATGAGTTGTTTAGAGAAGAGCAAAGAATTCATCAAGAAGAGAAAGCTTATCAGTGTGGTAGAACTTTCCAAGGCAGCTCAGACCTCATCACTCATCATTTAACTCATATGGGAGAGAAACCATACGAATGTAAAGAATGTGGGGAAACTTTCCATCAGGGCTCAGACCTTATGAAACATCATAGAATTAACAGTGGAGAAAAACTTACATTCAGCTCGGATCTTATTAAACACTATTGTGTTCATACTGGAGAGAAATCCTATGGGTGCCTTGATTGTGGGAAGGCCTTCAATCAGAACTCGCACTTTATTTAGTCACCAGAGAATTCACACTGGAGAGAAACTCTTTGAATGTCGCAGATGTGGGAAGGCCTTCAGTGAGCATACAGCTCTTAAACATCAGAAACTTCACACTGGAAAGGAACCTGGGGAATGAGAGAGAATCTTCAAGCAGGACTTATTCTAGTAGGTAACAGAAACCTAATGAATGTAGAAAAAACCTGGTAGAGACCATATCTTATTGCACTATAGAGGATTTTTATTAATGAAAACCATTTGAAGAAAGGAAAACATTAGAAGAATCCTACTAGATGGAAAACATATAAGTGTGATCAGATGGTAAGTTCTTGGACATAATAGCCTTTTCTGCCTCAGAATTGACACTGGAGTATGGTCCCCAGGATGTAATTGCTTCAGAATGTCTTAGGAAACTTCTATCATTATTAAAACCAGTAGAAATTACTTTAGCAACAACCTTAAAACTAAATTCTTCATGAAAGGAGCCATTTGAAAACTAACCTTTTCATTTCATCCCTGATAGAGCTTGTACTATATTGAATGTATTTGACTTTTGAAAGCAGAGGGAGATTTTTGTTACAGTATGGAAATGCTTTCAACTGTAAATGTTAAAATGAAATAAATGCACGAAATAATTATTGAGTGCCTAATATGTGCCGAGGGCCATAGTTTGATAGGGCTAGAGAAATACAGTTCTTCCAGGAGCTTACAATGCAGTGGCGGCTGAGGGAGGGCAAGAATTAATCTGCAGATAAGTGGACAATTTATGAAATGAAGATCCATCCAAAGCTTTAGTGGAATTGAACGTAGTCGTGTCCAGTTTGTACACCTGTACCTGTTAGAGAGCAGCCTGCACTGGAACGTTGAAAAAAAGAACCTAAAGGATAAAAGTCTGCCTTCATGAGACCTTAAACAGCTAAAGTCCTAAACTCCAGGAGGACCAAGGCAGAGACATTATCAAGTCTCTTTAAGGAACAGGTGTGACTGGGAAGTGGATTAAGAGCGGTTTCTCTATTTAAATATTTCATTAGGAAACAAGATTCTTGGGGAGAAAGCATGTGAATATAGTAAAGGAAGGGAATGTTACCCAATAATCTGCAGTTTAGTCCGTTTTTCTCAATTTTTGATGTCCTTAGAGTGAGGCCAACGTCATCACCTCTTGCTTGTGTTATTTCTAATATGCCTCCTGCTTCCATTTTTCTACAGAGCAACCCGAATGTCCTTTCTTTAGAACAAATCTGGTAGTGCCACCCATCTCTAAACTTCTGCAGTGCTTTCCCACTAACCTGAGCCTGAAGCCCAGTCCTTAAAGTGACACACATGTTCTGATATGGCTCCATTCGTCCACTCATTTAGTAAATATTTATTGAGCTTCAATACGTGTCAGGCACCGGGGGGTACAAAGAGGGGTGAGCAGAAATAGACAACCGTCTCGACCCTGGTGGATCAGAGGTGAGATTCATTAGAATCATAAGTAAATTAACACCATGGTAAGTGCCACAAAGGAGAGGCAAGATACTGCAGGGGATCTGACCTAGTTGGGGAGGATTTTCTGCAACGTGCTTACCTTCCTACATCCAATATTTACCTCTGAACTATCTGCAGTTCCCCAAGGACCTGGGCCCTGCCCTCTTACCTGTGGCCCTTCCACAGCTGTTCGCTCTGCCAGGAAAGCTCCCTCCCTCCTTAACTCACTCTAGTCTTTTCTTAGCATTTCCTATGTGCTGCTGGGTACTGTGATAAAGACTTAACTCCAATTTTCTCTTGCGTTCTTTGCCTTGGTCTTAATCGGTGAAAACGACTGTTTTTCTAAACAGGAAACTAAGGTCAGGAAGGCGAAATAACTGTCAGCTCTGTGCCCAGAGATGGTGCGGAATGCTGCCAGGCACCAGGCACTGCCAGTCCCCGCACAAGGCAATCTCCCTCAGGACAGAGCGCAGGGGAGTGAAGGGTACCAGGGCTTGCTGCATCTTGAAAGGTGTTTATGAGGACTCAGAAACTAGTTATGAGGAACTTCTTTAAAAATATAATTTTATTCATTTCAGGGAGGAAGGGAGAGATAGAAACATCAATGATGAGAGAGAATCATTGATGGGCTGCCTCCAGCACACCCCCCACTGGAGATCGAGCCTGCAAACTGGGCATGTGCCCTGACTGGGAATCGAACCTCAACCTCAATCAGGTCGATGGTAGATTGCTCAAGTCGCTACTAGATTGCTCATGTCCTCACCAGCCTCTTAGTGCTTAGCCCCCGAACCCAGAACTGGTCTCATTGCCTAACAGTTGCTCAGCAAGTGGCTGATGAATGTGTATCTATCCGCACTACTGAGGCTCCTTCCTCGGGTTATTACCAGAATCGTCCTAGCCCATCCAGTAGATTTGACTGAGACTCCAGCCCCGGTCCATTTTCAGCGGTTCACCTAAGCAGGTTGTTTTAACATAGCTTTATCCCCAAAGCTAAAGGATGCAGTGAGGGAAAGGTTATTATGATTACTTGGTAATTTTTTTAAGGTAAAACTTTGCTTTTAGGAACTTGTGAAGTACTACAGGGGTTCAAGGATGGGTTTCAGATGGTCCATGAATTCCCTGAAACTGCATGCAAATTTTTATAGGCAGAGCTTTCCTGAGTTTCAAAGATCCCTGACCTAACAACCTCAGGGGCCTGCCTTAGACCAGGAATCACTTAGAACACTTTTCTTTTAATGTACCTTAGCCAATAACAATAATAAACACCAGCCCAGACATCTCAGTAATAAGGTGATTTAAAAAAAAAAAAATGAACCCACCCAGCCAGCATAGTTCAATGGTTGAGTGTCGAACCAGGAGATCACGGTTCAATTCCAGTCAGGGTATATGCCCTGGTTTCGGGCTCAATCCCCAATAGGAGGTGTGTAGGAGGAAGCCCATCAATGATTCTCTCTCATCATCAATGTTTCTCTCTCCTCCTCCTCCCTTCCTCTCTGAAATCAATTAAAAAATATATTTTTTAAAAACACACACACACACACAAAGAACCTCCAAATTCTCAGAGTATCTTACATTAAGTTGTTAATCACAAAAAACTACACACACAGACACAAATAGGTAACACTTGTCCCATTATGAAAGGTAAAGGATCTCACTAAGCAGAACAGAAGATCAAGGACAGAGTGATCAGCTTATGCAAAACCAGACACTAACAGAGCACAACAGGGTGGGGTACTAAGGTAAGGGTGACACTTACAGGATAGGGACTGTTATACAAAATCATATTTAGACCATAATGAAACAATGTACTTTAGAAGAAATACTTTACTTATCCAAAAGTTAGCATACCAGTAAAACCGTTTAATTAGGGGAGGATGAAAACATACATGAACATAGCTGCAAAAATTCTGAAGGTCTTTGTGGGTATTTAGGCGGCCTTTGAGATTATGAGACCTGGTTTTTTTAAATGGATCTAAAATTAAGAAAATTCATGTTTTTTCTCTTCCTTGATAGAATTTTACTTGCACAAAATCATGTCTACCAGTCAACATTATGGTCAGGTTTTGACTCCCAAGTAAATTGAGAGGGAGGGAGGCAAACAAGGAGAAACCCAGAGGTAACGGAGGTGGACAATAGCAGGGAATGAGGTTACTGGATGTGTGGAAACAATTAGTACTATTATAACAAGGTGAATTTTATAGTACTATGTGGAAATAATTTCATTCACCAGAATTCCTCTTGTTGGAAGATTCTTCTTGAAATGAAATGTGAGACCTACCCCCCAATATGCTCAGGTACATACAAGTTGGTCACTTAATTGCCTACTAACGAATGTCCCAATGAGTGGATTGTTAACTGAAGGATCTTTTCTTTTGCTGAGCAGTGGGTGTAAGAAGGTAATTGCGCTGAGGGCAGGGCTTGGATATCTGAAGAAAAAAAAAAGGGGGAGAGCCAAGGTGACAGAGCCCTGAGGGAGGACCGAGAAAAACTTCAGTGGTGGTTTGGCCAAGGGACGTCTGAGGTCAAATGTCTCATAGGATGTGAACCCACTTCTCCACCTCTTACACAACAGCATCTTCAGGAAAGTCATATTCCTCATGGATGTGTTTGTGTGAGGGGATTCTTTGAGGGGGAGCTTGGAGAGGTGCTGGGATCTAAATTAAGGGCTGGTAAGGGTTGAATGTGGAAATAAAATATGCAAACACAGAAATCAGAAGTTAAAGGGATAGGTGACACCGAGGTTTCCTGTGAGAAAGATATGATCTGGGTATAATTCAATTTGAGCTTGAGATTACACTGCACTTGTAATCACCCTATAGAAAGAGATAAGTTAAAGAACTTGTGCTAATTTGACTGTTAGAGGCAGAAGTACCTGATAGGATGTAGAAACTGTGAAATCAACTGTTTATTTGTACAGGCTTTTCTCAAGCCAAGGGTATGAACCTGGAAGACCATATATTGCGGTACAGAACAAATCCACTTGGTGGGGTTTGGCTGTGACCAGTAATTTTCCAAAGTACATGATATAAATCCTTTATATTCAAGTCCATGAAGCAATAATAATACAAAATGTGTGAATGATTTCAAATAAGTCAGTAATAGACCCACTTAGCCACAGCACAGCACAGTGGTTAAGAACACAGACCAGGGTTGGAGTTTGGGCTCTTACCAGCTGTGTGATCATGGGTAAGTTACTTAACATCCCTCCTGCCCCTCCTCATCTTTTAAACTGGAGTGGGACTACACACATTATTGATGGGTGTGCAACTGTAAACCAACTAAAAAGCATTTAACTCAACACTTAAAACAGGTGAATTTTATGGTATGTAAGGTATGCTCAAAAAGCTGTTTTTAAAAACACTAAGAATACCTAGATCATAGATATGCTGTGAAAATAAAAGTGTAAGCTGGCATTGTGCCTGGCATATAGGAAACACAATAAATACTAGTGATTAGTATTAGAGTAATAAAGAAAAAATTAAAAATAGAACACTTAAGGTATATAAAGTTAGATTTTAAAAAGAACCAAAGAACTACTGGATTGGTTTAGTTCAACTCCCCTCATTTTAGAGAAAATTAGGAACCAGCAGGTGAAGTGCCTTATTCAAGGTCTAGCTCTAAAGCCAGACCCTAAGACTGCCAGGTCCCCATTAGTGCAATTCCCACTCCCACCCACTGCCTCAGAAACATGGACACGTGAAAAAATGAGGATGTGTTTCCTCAAAGGAAAAATACACAGGAGGAACACAGAAAATTCATGTAGAGATGCTGAAGAGAGATAATTCCAAGGCCAAGGGCAAAATGAGAAGAGGCCTATCAGTCCATTGGGATCCAGGTCATAAGAGTATTAAGTGCTTTGGCAAGGTGGCCCTGGTCAATCAGGTGAACCGGTTCACCACTGTGGCCAGGTGCCTGGTGATAGTAAAACTGCACTGTGCTCTCTGCTACTTCCTGACATGGTATCTGTCCGCAGCAGCAGGAGCTGGGGCCAAAAGTGAATGCAGCTAAGTTCTTGGGAGCAGTCAGCCTGAGTAGCCCAGTGTGAAATAGCTGCTAACAGCTGCTCTGCCCCTGCTGAATAGTCTGGCCTCACATGTTTTTCATCCCCTGGCCTTGCTCACCAGCCCCTCTAGATTCTAAGGGCCTTTACTTATGATCCTATAAACTGTCTGTCAGTTTCCTCCATCCAGGAAACCTTTTTGAGAAGGAGTTATTAAATGGCCCGGATTTCCATTTCATTAGTGCTGCCATCTTCATTGGGAACTTGATAGCATGTTTGAAAGATTCTGAAGCTAATAAAAGCTTACTAAATTATTCCAGTGCTAATTGTTGGACAAGAGAACAAAGTATGTCTTCTAGGCTGCAACTTTCCAGCACTTTAGGAGATAACATTCAATGAGTTGACTCCCATTCTTAGGAAGTGGAGGAATCACATTCCTCCAGTTTTCTTGACGAGTACAAATTGAGGCTAGATGGCTGGTATGTAGATCCCTAATGGTATGTGACCCACTAGGGGAGGAAGAAGAGAAGGAAAGAGGGGCAGAGAAGAATTAAGACCTGAAACAGCTTTTATAATTTAACTCAGTACACTGAAACTTCTAAATGAATAACTCATAAAAGTGCCTCATACTATTTGACCAAATGTTTAAATTAAAACCAGATCAGAGGAGGTTCTGTTCATTCATTTGATCTGAAAAATTGGGGTGTAGGTTATGAATAAGTCTAACTTCAGCTTTTCCATAGAAAGCCTTCCAATTTTGCAAATCAATCCATACAGTGAACACTTTGATGTCGGAGGAGGTGAGAGCTCCGACTAAAGGTCTTCTGACATTCTTGGCACTCGTAAGGCTTCTCTCCAGTGTGAATTCTCTGATGGATGATAAGTTGAGAATGCTGGCTGAATGTTTTCCCACACTCATTACATTTATAAGGTTTCTCTCCAATGTGAATTTTCTGGTGGAGAAGAAGCTCAGATTTATCCAAGAAGGTTCTTGCACATTCATTACACTGATGAGGTTTCTCTCCAGTATGAATTCTCTGGTGGACAATAAGATGGGAAGTCCGCCTAAAAGCCTTTCCACACTCAAAGCATTCATAGGGTTTCTCTCCAGTGTGAATTCTTTCATGTCTAAGAAGTTCTGAGTTCCCCCTAAAGGCCTTCCCACATTCTTTACATACATAAGGCTTCTCACCAGTATGAATTCTAATATGTCTAATAATCTCTGAGTTCTGGCCAAAAGTTTTTCCACATTCATTACATTCATATGGTTTGTCCCCTGTATGAATTCTTTGATGCCGGATAAGCTCAGAACTCTGACCAAAGCCTTTTCCACATTCGTTACAAAGATATGGTTTTTCTCCAGTATGAATTTTCTGGTGTCTAATAAGGCCTGAGCTATGCTTGAAGGCTTTGCCACACTCGCTGCATTCATGATATCTTTCTTCAGTATGAATTCTCTGATGCTGAATAAGCTGTGAACTAACCCTAAAGGTTTTCCCACATTCATTACATTCATATGGTTTCTCTCCAGTGTGGATTCTTTGATGTAGAATAAGGGCTGAATTCTGACTGAAGGCTTTACCACATTCTTCA